AATATCCCAAACCCCTCCTTTAAAGTGCAGGCATTGTACTTCCCATTTCCAGGTCTCAAGTCCGACTATATATACGTATAAAAATACACAATATATCTCTCCAAACTGCCAATATCCCAAACCCCTCCTTTAGAGTGCAGGCATTGTACTTCCCATTTCCAGGACTCAAGTTCAGTTATATAAAATAACCAGTTTCCCTGAATCCCTTCACTAAATATTACCCTGCTCACACTCCAACAGATCGTCAGGTCCCAAATACCATTTGTCTCCATTCACTCCTATCTAACACGCTCACGCAAGCTTGCTTGAAGTCCAAACCCCTCGCCCACAACACCCCCTTTATCCCCTCCCTCCAACCTTTTCGAGGACGACCCATACCCCGCCTTCCTTCCCCTAAAGATTTATATGCTCTCCATGTCATTCTACTTTGATCCATTCTCTCTAAATGACCAAACCACCTCAACAAACCCTCTTCAGCCCTCTGACTAGTACTTTTATTAACTCCACACCTTCTAATTTCCACACTCCAAATTTTCTGCATAATATTTACACCACACATTGCTCTTAGACAGGACATCTCCACTGCCTCCAACCACCTCCTTGCTGCAGCATTTACAACCCAAGCTTCACACCCATATAAGAGTGTTGGTACTACTATACTTTCATACATTCCCTTCTTTGCCTCCATAGATAACATTTTTTACCTCCACATATACCTCAATGCACCACTCACCTAAGTATAATTTTTTTTTTTTTTTCAACAAGTCGGCCATCTCCCACCAAGGCAGGGTGACCCAAAAAAGAAAGAAAATCCCAAAAAGAAAATACTTTCATCATCATTCAACACTTTCACCACACTCACACATTATCACTATTTTTGCAGAGGTGCTCAGAATACAACAGTTTAAAAGCATATACGTATAAAGATACACAACATATCCCTCCAAACTGCCAATATCCCAAACCCCTCCTTTAAAGTGCAGGCATTGTACTTCCCATTTCCAGGACTCAAGTCCGACTATATGAAAATAACCGGTTTCCCTGAATCCCTTCACTAAATATTACCCTGCTCACACTCCAACAGATCATCAGGTCCCAAGTATCATTCGTCTCCTTCACTCCTATCTAACACGCTCATGCATGCTTGCTGGAAGTCCAAGCCCCTCGCCCAAAAAAACCTCCTTTACCCCCTTTTTCCAACCCTTTTGAGGACGACCCCTCCCCCTCCTTCCTTCCCTATAGATTTATATGCTTTCCATGTCATTTACTTTGATCCATTCTCTCTAAATGCCCAAAAACCACCTCAACAACCCCTCTTTGCCCTCTGACTAATTTTTTTTATTAACCCCACACCTTCTCCTAATTTCCACACTCCGAATTTTCTGCATAATATTTACACCACACATTGCCCTTAGAAGGACATCCTCCACTGCCTCCAACCTTTCTCCTCGCTGCTGCATTTACCACCCAAGCTTCACACCCATATAAGGTGTTGGTACTACTTTTATTTCATACATTCCCTTCTTTGCCTCCATAGATAACGTTTTTTGATCCACATATATCTTCAACGCACCACTCACCTTTTTCCCTCATCAATTCTATGATTAACCTCATCCTTCATAAATCCATCCGCCGACAGGGTCAACTCCCAAGTATCTGAAAACATTCACTTCTTCATACTCTTCCTCCCCAATTTGATATCCATTTTTTCTTTATCTAAATCATTTGATACCCTCATCACCTTACTTTTTTTCTATGTTCACTTTCAACTTTTACCTTTACACACAAATTTTCAAACTCATCCACTAACCTTTGCAATTTTTCTTTAGAATCTCCCCTAAGCACAGTATCATCAGCAAAAAGCAACTGTGTCAATTCCCATTTTGAATTTGATTCCCCATTATTTAACCCACCCCTCTCCCAAACACCCTAGCATTTACTTCTTTTACAACCCCATCTATAAATATATTAAACAACCATGGTGAAATTACACATCCCTGTCTAAGACCTACTTTTACCCGGGAAGTATTCTCCTTCTTCTAACACACCCTACCCTGGCCTCATTTCCTATAAAAATCTTAACAGCATTTAGTTTAAATTACCCCCTATTCCATATACTTGCAATATCTGCCACAATTGCTCCTCTAGCCACTCTATCATATGCCTTTTCTAAATCCATAAATGCAATAAAAATTCCCTACCTTTATCTAAATACTGTTTAATATATGCTTCAATGTAAACACTTGATCTACACATCCCTACCCACTTGAAGCCTCCCTGCTCATCCACAATCCCACATTCTGTTTTACCTCTAATTCTTTCAATTATAACCCTACCGTTATACTTTTCCCGGTATATCAGTAAATTATTCCTCTATAATTTTTATTATCTCTTTTGTCCCCTTTCCCTTTATATAAAGGGACTATACATGCTCTCCACCAATCCCTAGGTTTCCTTCCCCTCCCTTTTATACATTAAAACAAAAGTACCAACACTCCAACACTATATCCCCCCCCGCTTTTAACATTTCTGTCATGATCCCATCAGTTCCAGCTGCTTTACCCCCTTTCATTCTACGTAATGCCTCACGTTCCCCCACCACAAAATTTCATTCTGCTCTTCTTCACTCCTAAAAAACGATATATTCCCTGGCCAGTGCATGAAATTACCGCCTCCCTTTCTTCCTCAACATTTAAAAGTTCCTCAAAATGTTCTCGCCATCTACCTAATACCTCCCTTTCCCCCTTACTTTAAATTTTCCCCACCTGTTTTTAACTGAAAAAAATCCTTTTCTTTCCTAGGCTTTCTTAACTTGTTTAACTCACTCCAAAATTTTTTCTTTTTTCATTAAAATTTTTTGACAGTGCCTCTCCCATCTCATCTGCTCTCCTTTTGCACTCTTCACCACTCTCTTCACCTTTCTTTTACTTTTCCATATACTCTGCTCTTCTTATAACACTTCTGCTTTGTAAAAAACCTCTCATAAGCTACCTTTTTCTCTTTTATCACACCCTTTACTTCATCATTCCACCAGTCATCCTCTTTCCTCCTGCCCCCACCCTCCTATAACCACAAACTTCTGCCCCACATTCTAATACTGCATTTTTAAAACTATTCCAACCCTCTTCAACCCCCCCCCCACTACTCATTTTTGTACTAAGTATAATTATCATAATATATATAAAACATTCTCCATGGGGAAGTGGAACAGAATTCATCCTCCGCAAGCCATGCGTGTCATAAGAGACGACTAAAATGCCGGGAGCAAGGGGCTAGTAACCCCTTCTCCTGTATATACAGTGGATTCCCGAGTTTGGACTAGAGTTTCGTGAAAAAACTCGTGTTTCGGTGACCGTCCGGTACCCGTCCGCCCGTCACCGTGTACACAAAGCCAGTCTCCCACGCCATTCACGCTCAGTGTGCCATTGCTTACCAACACGTGACCATCACCCCACAGGTTCATACAATACATTTCATAATAATCTATTGTTTTTTGTGCTTGCAACTGCTAAATAAGTCACCATGGACCCAAGGAAAGCTAGTGCAAGCCCTTTGGTAAATAAAGTGAGTGACGGGGATGTGGAAGAGTTGGTGGAGGACCACAGGGAAGAGCTAACCACTGACGAACTGCAAGAGCTTCAACTGGAACAGCATCAGACCACAGCCGAGGAACTTGCTTCAGAGGAGGAGGAAGAGGGAGTGGATGAGGTGCCTCCTTCAGTGATTAAGGACGTGTGTGGAATGTGGAATGAGTTGCAAAGTTTTGTTGAAAAGTATCACCTTGACCAGCTGAAACAAGCTGTATCTGCAACATGTACAATGACAGTGTTGTGTCCCACTTCAGGGAAATCTTAAAGAAACGCCAGGGGTCCAGTGACTCTCAAGTTGTTCCCAGTGGCATTAAAAGAAGAAGGGAAGTAACCCCCGATAAGGACTTGCTACCTAAAGTCCTAATGGAAGGAGATTCTCCTTCCAAACAATAGTGTACACCTTCCTCCTTCACCTCCTCCAATCTTCCATCCACCCAGAAGTCTTCAGTAAAGGTAAGTGTAATATTATTATTATTATTTTAACTGCATGTACTTGATTTCTGATTGTTTTCATTATGTAAATCTTTATTTAATTTGAAAAAAATATTTTATTTTAATATTTTTGGGTGTCTGGAACGGATTAATTTTATTTCCATTATTTCTTATGGGGAAAATGGTTTCGAGTTTCGTGAATTTCGACCTTCGGCGGGCTCTCTGGAACGGATTAATCACGAAACTCGGGGGTCCACTGTATTACTAAATTTGAAAGGAGAGACTTTCCTCTTTCCTTTTGGGTCACCCCACCTCGGTGGGATAAAGCTGGTACGTTAAAAGAAGAAAGAATATATCAAACATTCTCCATGGGGAAATGCAATAGAATTCTTCATCTGTAAGCCAGGCGTATCGTAAGAGGTGACTAAAATGCCGAGAGCAAAGGGCTAGTAACCCCTTCTCCTATATACATTACTAGAGTTAAAAAGAGAAACTTTCGTTTTTCTTTTTGGGCCACCCAGCTTTGGTGGGATATGGCCACTTTGTTGAAAGAAGATGATCTATAAAACATGAAATAGCTTTAAAACATTTGAAATTTTGGAAAGTTTCCATATATAATGGAGACACAGTGCTCACAGAGGTCACTGAGAATGTAAACAAACCAGGTGGGGCACAGTGACAATATTAGAAAGTCAGGTGGGGAGAGCCATATAGTGAGTGTTGATCATAATTTGAAATATCCGTATTAGCGGAAAGCCACAAAATGAAACGCCGTAAAGCAGGGCACTACTGTATGTGAGTATAGCTGAGGTTGAAAGTTTTTTCATTCTTTTGGGGTTTTTCTTTCTTTTTGCATCGCCCTGCGTTGGTGGGAAATGGCCAACATGTTAAAAAAAAACAAAAAACTGAGGTTTCTTGATAATTCAAAGTACTTTTCACCTTTACTGCAAATAATAGTGAATAAAAACTTTATCTTACCAAGACTATTTGATCCTGAAGGTTCTCTCTCAGGAGCATTTTCACGCTCTCCATGAACACCAGTGAAAATATTCATGAGGTTGATTGCAGTCCAAGCTAAGGGCATACGATACTTCCCAAGTCGTTCACAGCAAGCTACTGCTGCTGATTTCAGTTTCTCTCGGTTCTATACAGAGAAGAATATTAACATTACATATTTCAAGAATTTCAGCAAAACCTTCATTAAATTTCAAATTAAACAAAAGGTATACTTAGACTTCTCATTTTAGCACATCTAAAATTATAAGCAATAATCCGAATATCTCTTATTTACTCGATAAACACATGAGCAAATACTGACCGCATCATCTTTCATATATGGTCCAACCACATCACTGATGTCACCCTGTAAAACTTTCTCCAGACGAACAACAAGAAACAAGTCACTAGATGGATAGGTGATGTCGAAAATACATGTGCGACTCAAAGTAGAAATGTCCTAAAAGAAAACAAAACAAAAAAAAACTACATAAAAATCATGCACGGAAAATTCACATATATAACCAGACATTTGTCTGCATATGATAGGCATATGATAGGGTAGATAGAGGAGCAATGTGGCAGATGTTGCAAATGTATGGAACAGGTAATAAGTTACTAAACGCTGTAGAGTTTTTTTATGAGGATAGCGAGGCTCAGGATAGGGTGCGCAGGAGAGAGGGAGATTAATTTCCAGTAAAAGTAGGACTTAGCAGGAATGCGTAATGTACCTTTGGTTGTTTAACATATTCATAAATAGGGTTGTAAAAGAAGTAAATGCTAAGGTTTTGGGAAGAGGGGTGGGATTAAATTATGGGGACTCAAATACAAAATGGAAGTTGTCAGATACTTTTTGCTGATGATTCTGTGCTTTTGTGAGATTCTGAAGAGAAGCCACAAAAAGTTAGTGGACGAGTTTGGGAGGGAGTGTAGATGTGTAAAGAAGGAAAGTTGAAAGTGAACAAAAGATAAGAGGGTATCAAACAGGTTAGGTAAAGAAAAACTAGAAACAAATATGTTCAAATACGTACAGTGGAACCCCGGTTTTCATCTTTAATCCATTCCAGAAGGTTAGCCGAAAACCATTTGTATGAAAACTGAAGTAACATTTTCCATAAGAAATAATATAAATCCAATTAATCCGTTCCAGACACCCAAAAATATTAACAAAAAATAAATTTTATAGAGAATAACTATACAGAAAACAATGAGAAATAAATACAAACCACTAATGAAATAGATAAATGAACATTTAACATCACTTTTACCTTTATTGAAGTCTCTTGTTGGCGTATGGAAGACGGTGAGGAGGGGAGAGGGAGGAGAGGTTATTGTTTGGAAGGGGAATCCCCCTCCATAAGGACTTCAGGTATCAAAGCCATATCCGGGGTTACTTCCCTTCTTTGTCTTTTACTGGCACTAGAACCAGCTTGAGAGTCACTGGAACCCGTCGCAAAAAAATGTCGAGAGAGGTCTGCTTCTGGAGTCTGTAAGACTTGCCTAAAATGGGACACAGCATTGTCATTGAACATGTTGCTGCCACAGCTTGCAACAGTTTTGTTAGGGTGATATTTCTCCACAAAACTTTCCACCTCATCCCACTCTGCACAAATGTCCTTAATTGCTAAAGAAGGCATATTCTCCCTTCTCTTTTCCTCCTCCTCTGAAGCAATTTCCTCAGCTAAGGTCTGTTGCTGTTCCAGATGAAGGTCTTGCAGCTATTCAGTGGTTAGCTCTTCCTTGGGGTTATCCACCAACTCTTCCACATCCTGGCCACTCACCTCCAACCCCATGGATTTTCTTTGGCCCCAAAGTAGCTTATTTAGCAGTCGCAAACACAAAAAAAATGGATTATAGTGTATTACGAAATGTTTCGGATGAACGCGTGGAGTAATGCTCACTGAACGAGTAACAAAGGCAGACTGAGTCACGAACGTATGAGCAGCCGTGTCCAGCGGGCAGGCGGACACATCTGATACAGACAATTTCTGAGCAGATGTACGAAAACAGGGAAAATTTCTCCGAAAAAAGTGGTCGAAAACTGAATTGTACGATAACCGGACCAGACAAAAACCAGGGTTCCACTGTATCTTGGAATACATGTGTCGATAGATGGATTTATTAAGGATGAGGTAAACCATAGAATTTATGAAGGAAAATGGTAGGTGGTGCAGTGAGGTATCTGTGGAAACAAAGGACAATATCCATGGAGGCAAAGAAGGGAATGTATGAGAATACAGTGTTACCAACACTCTTACATGGGTGTGAAGGATGGGTTATAAATGTTGCAGTGAGGAGGAGGCTGGAGGCAGTGGAGATGTCGTGTCTAAGGACAATGTCTTGCTAAAATATTATGCAGAGAATTCATAGTGTGGAAATTAGGTGGTGTGGGATTACTAAAAGTATTATTCAGAGGGCTGACGATGGATTGCTGAGGTAGTTTTGGTTATTTAAAGAAGATGGAGCACAATAGGATGACTTAGAGGGTGTATAAATCTGTAGTGGAGGGAAGAAGGGATAGGCCTCATCCTAGGAAAGGATGGAGGGAGGGGGGTGAAAGAGGTTTTGTGTGCAAGGGGCTTGGACATACAGACACTTACAGAAGGCAACTGTGAGTGTGTTAGTTAGGAATGAGTAGAGGCAAATGTTTTTTAGGACAGGACAAACTGTTTTAGTGTGAGCAGGGTAATATTCTCTGAGGGGGATTCAGAGAAACTGGTTAGCCAAACTTTAGTCCTGGAGGTGGGAAGTACAATGCCAACACTTTAAAGGAGGGGTTTGGAATATTTGCTGTTTGGAGTGACATCTGAACTGTCATATCTATGTGCCTCTGCAAAGACAGTGATATGTGTGAATGATGGTTAAAGCTTTTTTTTTTTTTGAGCCACCCTGCCTCAGCGGGAGACGGCCAGCATGTTGAAAAAAAAGAAATATCTGCAATCTTCCTAGGTAGTAGGTTGGTAGACAGCAACCGCCCAGGGAGGTACTACCGTCCTGCCAAGTGAGTGTAACACGAAAGCCTGTAATTGTTTTACATGATGGTAGGATTGCTGGTGTCCTTTTTTCTGTCTCATGAACATGCAAAATTTCAGGTACGTCTTGCTACTTCTACTTACACTCAGGTCACACTACACATACATGTACAAGCGTATATATACATACCCCTCTGGGTTTTCTTCGATTTTCTTTCTAGTTCTTGTTCTTGTTTATTTCCTCTTATCTCCATGGGTAAGTGGAACAGAATTCTTCCTCCGTAAGCCATGCGTGTTGTAAGAGGCGACTAAAATGCCGGGAGCAAGGGGCTAGTAACCCCTTCTCCTGTATATATTACTAAATTTGAAAGGAGAAACTTTGGTTTTTTCTTTTGGGCCACCCTGCCTCGGTGGGATACGGCCAGTGTGTTGAAAGAAAGATCTGCAATCTTTCGTTCATAAATTTAAATATTCAAACAATTTTATATTCATAAATGGCCAGATAATTTTTTACATTCAAGTGAAAGCACTAAACCTGTGGGAGTCATATAGTGTCTGGTAAATGGAAAGAAATCAACTTCAATCTATGGTAGAGGAGACTAGCTCCAAATCTTTGAACTAAGAGCCTTTCACTGCCATCAAGGTGCCCCCCTTGAAGGATTGCATGGTTTGACAACTCTCTGGGGAAGCTTTGTGAACAGATATTGCAAAAAAAAAAAAAAAATATCCTCCCAGCTTATGGTATACTGTATTTAAAAAAAAAAAAAAATAGTCAACTGAACATGAGAGAACAGGATGCTAAGGATCTACAACAAATTATTAGCCAAATCAATGCATTCCATTAATAAATAAAATTAATGAACAGGAAGATATACAAAATTTATATGAATTCCATTACATAATAGCATATTGCTTAAAGATGTTAATTTATCTAAAGAACTGCCAATTGTCTATAACTAATAAAATCAATGGTCTTGTGAGGGGGAAAAAAAGAAATACATGAGAACATATGGAAATTAATAATATACAATATTTGCTTCTGGTAGTACTACTATGTAGTAGTTAACAGGAATATGTATCTACACTTGTAAATGGGAAAAATACTTCAATACAAATGACACCAGAGATGTGATGGGCTCGGACATAAAAATTAAAGGGAATACAATACTGCAGAAAAATGATGATGGAATTCCATGTCATGCTATTTATGCAGGCTTTATAATATTAACAGTACGATACAACCTAAATACATTCAATCACTTAAGCTTCATTTTAATTAAGCCTATCTTATTTTAGCTCATATACAAGACTATGAACCCATAAGTGGTTTTCATCTCCATGGTCTGGAATGATATTGCTCCAGACCATGGAGCTGAACTCTTCTCCAGACTGAGGGACTGACCACCTCGTATACTTTTTCTCCTAGGCTGATGAACTGATTACATAATCTTTATTTCACTACCACCACTCCCTTTGTATTTGAAGAAGTCTACTGTGTAGGCGAAATGTTTCATCAATAAGATACCCAATTGTTGCACATGTATCTGAATCCTCACAAAGAACATTCATCGCCTCCTGCTTTTAGTAAATATACTCTACGACTCAATAACCCACAAGAGTTTTCCAGGTGTCAAATGTGAGGAAATGTTGTGGAACCTCGGTTTTCATGCTTTATCCATTCGAGAAAGTCTGACGATAAACCAAATCGTACGAAAACTGAAGCAATATTTCCCATGAGAAATAATGTAAATCCAATTAATCTGCTCCAGACACCCAAATTTTTATTTTTTATTTTTATTATTATCACACTGGCCAATTCCCACCAAGGCAGGGTGGCCCGAAAAAAAAAAACTTTCACCATCATTCACTCCATCACTGTCTTGCCAGAAGGGTGCTTTACACTACAGTTTTTAAACTGCAACATTAACACCCCTCCTTCAAAGTGCAGGCACTGTACTTCCCATCTCCAGGACTCAAGTCCGGCCTGCCGGTTTCCCTGAACCCCTTCATAAATGTTAACCAAAAATACATTTTATAGAGAATAACTATAGTTTTACATACAAACTAGGGCAAGCGAAAACCGAGGTTCCACTGTAGTTTCACATACAAAACAGTTTCTTTTGATAAAAGCAACATTGCAACTCCTAAGACAATCACTCATATTTTTTTATAATTTCTTGCTTCTTTATTTTTATCGTTCACAGTCTGCAAGTTTTTAAGCAATTCATATTCCTTTCAAACATTTTTAGCTAGAACTGCAACTGCAACTTCTGGTAAATGCTCCACTAATGTCAAAAAAGAGATAGTTTAGATCTCGAGAAATCTTTCTGACATTAATATACCATCCACTGTCAACTACAAGAAATCAAATCACAATTATATGAATACATACTGTATTGCTGGAAAAGCAGAATGCATAAGTAATATATTAAATCACTGGTAAGGAACAAGAAAGAAATATGACCTACTGACAAAGCATTTAACTGTTAGACAAAAGGAGCTCATTCTGCTAAACCTCAAACAATATTTCACTTAGTCTCAAGTTAGGCACCAACCTGATATGGGATGTGTGAAGTTAACATTCTCTTAAGTGGTTCTGGGTTCATGTCAAAACAAAAATTTTCCGATATTTTTTTTTTATCCCTGAGGTCATATAGTGCCATCGTTGCAAATATTGGCTCAATTTCTAGCTCTAGGCGAAGATTAATACACTTGACCTGAATGCGGTGACCTGAATGTGGCATTGGAACATCTGGATATAGCCGGCGCTCTATCATATCCTCTTCATCTTGAGGAGGATACAACATAAACAGAGATTCCTAAAAAATCAATGATACGTGTTAAATATGAAATGCACATACTGTACAAGGAACACATACACAATATACAATAAACATTTTGACACATGAGTAAGACAAACAAACAACCCTTCAAGCATGAATATTGAGATTGTAATTTACAATTATGGAACAACCTCTTGTAACACAATCAAGTAGCAGGAATTTGTTGTAACCCAAGTGAAAATGTGCAACCCAAACATTCTGATAGGGTGCAAATCTTGGTATTACACACTGTAAAGAATTAATGAATAAGTTAACATGCAAAATATTGGAACTTTGTATAAAGGCAAAGGGGACAAAAGAGTGCAAATATTATAGGGGAATAAGTCTGTTGAGTTCTCCATGCAGAAGTGGAACAAAATTCTTCCTCCATAAGCCAGGCATGTCGTAAGAGGCGACTAAAATGCCTGGACTAAGGGGCTAGTAACCCCTTCTCCTGTATATATTACTAAATTTAAAAGGAGAAACTTTCGTTTTTCCTTATGGGCCACCCCACCTCAGTGGGATAAGGCTGGTACGTTGAAAGAAGTCTGTTGAGTATACGTACCTGGTAAAGTGTATGGTAGTTATTATTGAAAGAATTAAGAGTAAGATGGAGAGTAGGATAGCAGATAAATAAGGAGGCTTTAGGAAAGGTAGGGGTGTGTAGACCAAGTGTTTACAGTGAAACATATAGGCGAATAGTATTTAGATTAGGGTAAAGAGGGTTTTAGTGGCATTTATGGATTTGGAAAAGGCATATGACAGGGTGGACAGGGGAGCAATGTGGCAGATGTTGCAAATGTATGGAATAGGAGGTAGGTTACTGAAAGCAAAGAACAGTTTTTACGAGGATAGTGAGGCTCAGGTTAGAGTATGTAGGAGAGAGAGAGATTCTTTCCCAGTAAAAGTAGCTCTTAGACAAGGATGTGTGAAGTCACCATGGTTGTTCAATATATTTACATATGGGGTTGTAAGAGAAGTGAATGGTCGGGTGTTGGCAAGAGGTGTGGGGTTAAAAGATAAAGAATCTAACACAACATGGGAGTTGTCATAGTTGCTCTTTCCTGATGACACTGTGCTTTTGGGAGATTCTGAAGAGAAGTTGCAGAGGTTGGTGGATGAGTATAGTTGGGTATGTAAAAGAAGAAAATTAAAAGTAAAAATAGGTAAGAGTAAAGTGATGAGGATAACAAAAAAATTAGGTGACGAAAGATTAAATATCAGATTGGAGAGAGAGAGTATGGAGGAGGTAAATGATTCAGATATTTAGGAGTGGACGTGTCAGTAGATGGGTCTATGAAAGATGAGGTAAATCATAGAATTGATGAGGGGGAAAAAGGTGAACTTTGTCCATGGAAGCAAAGAGGAGAATGTATGAGAGTATAGTTATACAGGTTTGCCATCACTAATCCGGCAATCAGTTATCCGGTTCCATTAGTAATCTGGCACTAATTTCAGCTAGCATAATTTCAAATTTCATCATTATAATGACTCAGAAATTGTGCAGATGGTTGTAAATCCACAGCAACAAGCCAGTGGAGGAGAAAGCAGTGATGAAAATGAGGAAGATGTAGCAGAAAGTCTCTCTATTTATAGGTTAATTATGTGAATTCTAACCTAATCATTCTGTAATCCGGCAGACTCACTAATCCGGCAGACTACAGGTCCCAATGATGCCAGATTAATGACAGCCGACCTGTACCAACGCTCTTATATGGGTGTGAAACATGGGTGGTAAATGTTGCACTAAGAAGAAGGCTGGAAGCAGTGGTGATGTCATGTCTGAGGGCAATGTGTTGTGTGAATATAATGCAGAGAATTTGTAGTTTGGAAATTAGGAGGTGTGGGATTACCAAAACTATTATCCAGAGGGCTGAGGAAGGGTTGTTGAGGTGGTTTGGACATGTAGAAAGGCTGGAACACAATAGAAGGACTTCGAGAGTGTATAAATCTGTAGTGGAGGGAAGGCGGGGTAGGGGTCAGCCTAGGAAAGGTTGCAGGGAGGGAGTAAAGAAGGTTTTGTGTGCGAGGGGTTTTGACTTCCAGCAAGCACGCGTGAGCATGTTAGATAGGAGCAAATGGACACAAATGTTTTTTTTTAGGACTTAAATTGCCATTGGAGTGTGAGCAAGGTAACATTTATGAAGAGAGTCAGGGAAACCAATAAGCCAGATGGGAAGTACAGTAGGGCCCCACTTTACGGCGTTCTGCTAATACGGTCATTTCAAATTATGACCAAAACTCTCTATATGGCTCCCCCCACCTGACTTTCTAACAGTCACCATGCCCCACCCGGTCTGCTTACATTCTCCGTGAGCTCCCTATGTCTCTCCATTATGTCTGGAAACTCCAAAAATAAATAAACTTACACACTGTGCTGGTGTGCAGGTACACATTAAAATCAGTAAGTTTCTTATGGCTCGTGACGCCATATTAGTAATGATAATAATAGTACTCAATAATAATCATTAAATGTCGTATATTACGTTAATATACACTTTTTTTTTTTTTTTTTTTTTCAACAAGTCGGTCGTCTCCCACCGAGGCAGGGTGACCCAAAAAAGAAAGAAAATCCCCAAAAAGAAAATACTTTCATCATCATTCAACACTTTCACCACACTCACACATTATCACTGCTTTTGCAGAGGTGCTCAGAATACAACAGTTTAGAAGCATATACGTATAAAGATACACAACATATCCCTCCAAACTGCCAATATCCCAAACCCCTCCTTTAAAGTGCAGGCATTGTACTTCCCATTTCCAGGACTCAAGTCCGACTATATGAAAATAACCGGTTTCCCTGAATCCCTTCACTAAATATTACCCTGCTCACACTCCAACAGATCGTCAGGTCCCAAGTATCATTCGTCTCCATTCACTCCTATCTAACATGCTCATGCACGCTTGCTGGAAGTCCAAGCCCCTCGCCCACAAAACCTCCTTTATGGTAGTAGGTTGGTAGACAGCAACCACCCAGGGAGGTACTACCGTCCTGCCAAGTGAGTGTAAAACGAAAGCCTGTAATTGTTTTACATGATGGTAGGATTGCTGGTGTCTTTTGTCTGTCTCATAAATATGCAAGATTACAGGTACGTCTTGCTACTTCTACTTACACTTAGGTCACACTACACATACATGTACACGTTTATTTATACACACTCATCTGAGTTTTCTTTGATTTTATCTTAATAGTTCTTGGTCTTATTACTTTTCCTTTTATATCCATGGGGAAGTGGAATAAGAATCTTTCCTCCGTAAGCCATGCGTGTTGTAAAAGTCAACTAAAATGCCGGGAACAATGGGCTAGTAACCCCTTTTCCTGTAAAGACTAAAAAAAAAAAAAAAAAAAAAAAAAAAAAAAAAAAAAAAAAAAAAAAAAAAAAAAAAAAAAAAAAAAAGAAGTTAATATACACATTTTCATTAATCCACCTATAATATTTTTTCAAAATTATATAATAAACATGATACATAACATATTCTTTCTTTCTTTCAACACACTGGCCGTATCCCACCGAGGCAGGGTGGCCTAAAAGAAAAAAATGAAAGTTTCTCCTTTTACATTTAGTAATACATACAAGAGAAGAAGTTACTAGCCCCTTGCTCCCGGCATTTTAGTGGACTCTTACAACACATATGGCTTACGGAGGAAAAATTCTGTTCCACTTCCCCATGGAGGTAAGAGGAAATAAACAAGAACAAGAACTAGAAAGAAAATAGAAGAAAACCCAGAGGGGTGTGTGTATATATGCTTGTACATGTATGTGAAGTGTGACCTAAGTGTAAGTAGAAGTAGCAAGACGTACCTGAAATCTTGTATGTGTATGAGACAGAATAAAAAGACACCAGCAATCCTACCATCGTGTAAAACAATTACAGGCTTCCGCTTTACACTCACTTGGCAGGACGGTGGTACTTCCCTGGGCGGTTGCTGTCTACCAACCTACTACCTAGAACATAACATATAAAGACGATAAATACACTTCACAGTAGAATAAATAAACAAATATGAAATGTAGGAGCCAGATGACTTGAACGAGTGACACCATATTAGTAATGACGATAATAATCACCGAGTCTCGTTAAATGTCGTATATTACATTAATACACCTACCATCCGACTTATGACCTGCTCAACATACGACCATTCAACTTACGACCGTGTTTTGTATGCCAAATTTCTGGGAAATAAACAACTGTTTGTGTTGTACACAGAGTTTATCCTAAACCTTACAGTATAAAATACAATACTAACAGCATAAAAAGTAAAGTAAAAAATGAAATACCAAAATAAAACAATAAAATAAAGTCATTACAAATACATGTATGTGATGTTGATATTCAGTAGTAAGGTTTGAATTACGTCCATTTCGACTTATGACCGGTTTCTCGGAACCAAACTCGGTCGTAAGTCTGATGGTACCTGTATACACGTTTTCATTAATCCATCTACGATATTTTTTCAAAATTATATAATAAACACAATACATAACATATAAAGATGATAAATACACCAGGCAACTTGTACAAGTGACGGCAAGAATAACGTTTTCTCTAGTCCAACAAAAGAGAAAATGTTACTGGACCTAACTGTAGAAAATTATTCCTTTCGTATGCCTTCACTCAGAACATCATTTCTTCTAAATATGGTGTTACATGAGAATGGGAGTGTTCCTCTTTATTTATTCTACCATATCAATGTAGAGACAACTTGTACACAAACCAGACATGTACACCTGGTTTGTTTACAAAACTTGCATTTGCCTGGTTTGTTTGCAAAACTTTCATTTGCCTGGTTTGTTTACGTAACTCTGCGAGTGTTTTCTCTCTCTCATGTACTCATTCTCTCTCTCTCTCATTTATTCATTTTATCTCATTTACTCACCTCTGACCCTACATTAAGACTACAAATATTTTAAGATAAGTAATAAGTGAACTGTATATGCAGTTTATCACTCTGGGAAGCTTAAATGTCATAGAATACTATGTGTGGGTGGGTTGACCTGGTATGGTAGCCTGACTGGCTACCATACATACCACACTTGATTTCTTACAGTAAATACTGCTCGTCTCACCCTAGATTAAGACTGTACAAATATTTTGAAGTAATGAGTGTACTGTATGTGTCTTTTACTTTTTTATTGTGTTTTAATGCCTAGTTCTATTGCTAACTTAATATATTAGTGTAAACTTGTTATCTAGTATTTATATGCATTTGTAAGTGGAGAAAAAGGTGTTCCACTTTACGGCGATTTCTGCTTTATGGCGGTAGCCTGGAACCTAACCTGCCATATAAGTGGGGCCCTACTGTACAGTGTCTGCACTCTGAAGGAGGGGTGTTAATGTTGCAGTTTTATAACTGTAGTGTAAGTGTGCTTTGGCAAGACAGTGATGGAGTGAATGATTATGAAAGTTTTTCTTTTTCAGGCCACCCTGCCTTGGTGGGAGAAGGCCGATGAGTTAATAAAAATAAGTACTACCTGGTCTCTGGATATTAACCAAGGCATGCTGGGGTGCTAAGAATAAGAATAAATATGAATACAGCAAATCTTCACTTAACGTCGATGACAGTTCTTGGAAACTGCAACTTCAAGAGAAACGACATATAACAAAACCAATTTTACCACAAGCTAATTGATAGAAACATCAGGGGTGTATAATGCACCTTTAGCACTCATGGCAACTGGGTTAAATCAAGGAATAAATGTTTGCAAAGCAAGAACTGTAAGCAGCAGCACCTACTACAAGGAAGTTCAAAAACAATAACAAATATGGTGGACTCGCTAAGCGCATTCATACCGCATTGTTCATTGTCATGCATTTGTACAATTATCATGTACTCTACAAATTTTTGTTTTACATTAATATGTATTCATTCATTCATTTTCCAATTCACTAATTTCAGTTCAGGTTCATGGGTGGCCAGAGCCTATCCCAACAGCTCAGAGCACAAGGCAGGAACCAACCCTGGACAGGACGCTATTCCATCACAGGACACACACATTCACACCCACACTCACTCATACTGGGACAACTGAAACACACCACTTAAACTAATGTGCACATCTTTGGGATGTAGAAGTAAACTGGAGTACCTGGAGAAAACTCACACAGACATGGAGAGAATGTGCAAACCCCACACAGACAATGGCCCCAGCCAGGAATCATTTTTTCCTCATCAGCATTATAACAAAACTACAGTGAACGAAATGACATTAAGTGAGGACTTACTGTATATGATTTTGTTGAAAAAATTTGTGTGTTCAGTATTAGATAACCTTAGAGACGGTGCGTGTGTGATAGAAACTGCTCATGAATTTTGCGTGAATGAACTGACCATTTATATAATTAAAAATGAGGGGAAAAAAAAGGAAAAAGATCTTTTGCATTAAGTAGTATAGATTATCACTAGCTCAAGAGAATATTAAGAGGTCACTACAGCTAAGTGAAACAGAAAAGTTACTGAATGCACGAAGTGAGAAAGAAAATAAGGAAAGGGGCCCTCTTAGTGATCAGATAAGGAACAAAGCTTATCATATTATAAACTGTATGCTAGAAGGAAGCAAACCTTCACAACAGGACAGCTATGTTTAATGCTGGATACAATCGACTACTGAAAACAGCATCCAGATTAAAATAAGCACGGTCATCCACCGCAGTCCAGTAGGGCCATGCAAACCCTCTCCATAGTTTTTATCTAGTACAATGTTAAATAAAAAATTAACTTGGCAAATTTTCAGGTGTCTGGAATGTAACCCTATTTTCCCCCATGTTATTCACTTAACTTAGTATTTTACATAATGCACTGATCTTCAGGAATGTAACCAACACATTATAATAGGTTTATTCTATATACTGTATTGTTTATTCAATAAATGTAGGGCACTGCATTTAATCTCCATCTAGCTATATGTGTACTGACATTACATTTCAGATGACCCTCCAACTGCAACATCCACACCCCTTCTTCAGAGAACAAGCATTGCCCTTCCCACCTCCAGGACTCAAGTCTGGCTAACTGGTTTCTTTGAATCTCTTCATAAATATTACCTTGCACACACACCAGCACATCAAGCACTAAAAACCACTTGTTTCCACTCACTCCAATCCAACATGGTCACACAAACCTGTTGGATACTCAAGCTCCAAGTACCCAAAACCTTCTCTATCTCCTCTTTCCAACTGTTCCAGTGATAACCCTTACACCATCTTCCTTTCATCCCCAATTTACATATCCTCTTAGTCATTCTATCCCTCTCTATCCTCACTAAATGCCAAAACCACCTCAACAACTCTCTCTACAGCTGTATGAATTATACCCTTGGTGACCCTCACACCATCTTCAGATTTCTAAAACTTTAATTTTCTGCATAGTAGTCACACCACACACACTGCTCTTAGATATGATGTCACTGCCTCTAGCCTTCTTCTCTTCCTCCTCCTCCTCCTCCTCCTCGCCACAAAGTTCAAGACCCAGGTAAATAGTATGGTGATACCAACAAGCTTTGGAAAAAACACTTTTGCACAGTTTCGAACACGGATTAAACCAATCACTGTTGCGATTTAAAAGACAAATATCTTCTAAAATAGTAAAAAATCTTTTTCTGAAGGTAATGAAACTAAAAATGCAAAATTTGATGGAAAATATACAGACTTACACAGGTGCGAAGTTGATCATCTGGGTACAATTTAGGCATCAGTGATTCTGTCAATTTGAGGACTATTTAAGGCCAATTACATTACTCTAACTGACCCAGTTCCTGGATACTTCACTAATATGCCTTCCATTCTATTGATTGAGAACAAAAATCTGCCCATTCAACTATCAGAACTACCCCAAAGAGTGCACAGGAGCACACAGTAATTTTGCCAATTTTACACAAGTAAAAGTACAGTGCCTGCACTCTGAAGGAGGGGTGTTAATATTGTAGTTTAAAAACTGTAGTGTAAAGCACCCTTCTGGCAAGACAGTGATGGAGTGAATGATGGTGAAAGTTTTTCTTTTTCGGGCCACCCTGCCTTGGTGGGAATCGGCCAGTGTGATAATAAAAAAAAAAAAAAAAAAAATTAAAACACAATCCAAGATAAATACTGTAGGCATTCCAGCCACTAAAGCAACCTTTCTTCTGTTCATTAATCATAACACTTGCCCTCCATTTTGAAACCATCACCACATAAAAATTTAGTTTTATCCTATTTCTCAGCTAATAAAATATAGCTGAGAAAGACTGATCATGGTTTAGGTCATCTCAATAGTTGAAAGCAAACCTAGTAAAAACCTAAAAATCAAATATCATAGCAACTTCAAAAAATGTTTTAGGTGGTTTTCTTGGTTATTTCTTGGTATCAGATGATTTTGGCCAATTTCAAAACAGAAGCTATCAAGCCACTTTTGTTCTGAAACCGACCAAAATCATCTTCATTTCACTAGTACGTCTTCCAGTCTATCAAGTGATATTAAAAACAGCAAATAAAACTACCCCATTGCATGCCTCAAATTTGCTATCTTAAACTAAACACAAGGTCAGAGGTTAGCTCATCGCATCATGCACTGCATGGGGCAAGATCTTTTTTATACTGTGCATACCCACAGCACAGACTCACTTTCTGTGTGTCTAGGCCAAAATTTACCAATCAAAGCACAACTGAGGGCACTGTGATCAAAACGCAGATTTACACGAAACATTACAAGGGTTAATGGAAATGTTCAGAACTGTAAAGTGTCTTTTTCAAAAGCCCTGGTATGACCATATCTACCTGCAGTATTTGTAATTAGGATACATACCTATTTTTAAACATAAAGAGAATCTGCTCCCACTGAATCAATGTTTGATTCATTCTACTTCTTCACCACTCTCTCTTCAAATTACATTATGCAAAAATAAAAAAATCCATAAACTATGTAATTTTACTACTGAAAAAAGTTTTACCTGTCTGTTTTCAAGCCTAGCTTGTTGATTATTATTGTCAACTGTATCCAGTGGAATGCGTGACAACAGGGAAGGAAGAAGAGGGTCAGCAACAGAATTCCGCAGATCAAACACAGAGCTTGCCCAACTTCCTCTTGGAGTGTCCGAGAGATGTGACGAGTGCCTGCTACTTCCAACATCATGCTGAAAACCACAAGAACAAAATACAAATTAGAACAACACACCTGAAATTTCCTTAAAATATGATTTACAAATAACAATTAATCAACAGCATATAACATGCTTGACACACAGGTAGAACAATGCTGTTTCAATGAAAGATTACATATTAATCTTTGTTCTTCAAGCTGTCAGCAGACAACATAAAAGTACTGTACACAACTAAGTCTTTAGGTATAGTAATTCACAGCCCAAAAATTTTTAATAAATATAAAATATTCAGGATAATCACATTTCAAACAGCCAACGTTATGAATATGAGAATGAAAAATAACAAAAATTATGTCAATAACAATTATTATTGCTTACCTATCAATGTGATGGATTTTTTAATGCTGTGCCTGTCTTTCTGAGCACTAATATGCATAAAGCCCTAATAAAACCAATAAACTGCCTTTAATTTTTTTTAATACTGACACAAACTATGTATTAAAAATGATACGACACATCTTTTGATGTGCTAAGGAAAATTTCAAGAGCCCATAGCACAGATTTTGCATACTGGTTCCTCTTACAGTGTTCCTATTTGATTATTAATCTAAAGCATAAGTAGCACTGAGTGACTTACTCGATCAGCATCAGTGGATCCACGGTCATCTTCTAGGTCAACCTCAAACTCTGGTTGTGGACAGGACTGCAAATTTGCCAGGTGGTCTGCAGTTAACTGACTGCGGCCAGGCACAGAGGTGGAATACTGAAGGTACTGACGGCTAACATACAACCAGTCTCTAGTATAACAGCGTACACAGTCTGCTACATGGGCATCAAAACCATCCCTGAGAAAGTTTATGGCATTTAGTACTGTTATTTCTGTTACTAGAATAATTTTAAAAAGACTAGTTAAGAAATATAATAAAAATTAATATCATAGCATTTATGCAATTTTCACTTGCCTTCACCTGCAGGATGAACGGGATATTCGAGTTCCATAATTTACAGAGCACTGGAGCCATCTCTTTATTCAGTGCTTTTAACACAGTCAGTTCCTAACATTATTATTATTATTTTGGTGCCATCTTTACCATTTTTAGCTGTCTTAACAATACACAGTACTACTGGGTATCTTTATTCCAAAACGTTTTGCCTACACAGTAGGCTTCTTCAGTCATGTACAGAGGAGGCAGCAATGCAATCTTGGTACAGAGAACCTCTTCAATAACATTTTTATCTGACCACCAGTTACAAGTGAGAAGGGATGGATTCGAGAGGGACATGCCCTCTCAATGATTACATTCTTATGTCATTTAGCAGGCACTGCCTCTCCTGTCATCAACTTTATCTGCGCCTCACCTTTGACAGTATACCAGTCTCCATAATGCTGCTTCAGTTTCACACTGTTCCAGACTATGTAGCAAAACTCTTCTCCGGCTGAGGAACTGACCACCTCCTCAAGGGTGATGGACTGATTACATTGTCTTTACATATCTACCACTTCTGCTGCCTCCTACAGCTGTACTCGACTGAAGAAGCCTACTGTGTAGGCAAAAAGTTTCAAATAAAGATGCCAAACTTTTGCATGTGTGTCTTGTTTATCAACTTGTCAGTGTTGTATACCATTATAATATTCATACAGTACTAGTACTGTATCAATACCAACTTTCTGCTATTATGACTAATTTACTATCATATTACAGATGCTATAATCACAATCCAATAAAAACAATTTTGCATTTATTCATTGTCATACAAACCATATCTATACCACCATGACTATAAGCCACAACAAAATCTGACGAAGGAGAAATCTACTACCTGTTAATTAGAATGAAATATGGTCTCAAATCCTGCTACCAACTGTAAGCAGACAGCATTTGGAAGTAACATGAACATAAAAATAAAAGAAGATCTAGTAAATGATTACATTTGCATAAAACAAAATATGACATTTATACATACAGTGGTCCAATGAGTCACAATGGTCTTGAGTTATGATAATTTTGAGTTACAATATGCTTACCCAACACCAACACACTGCTTCAGCCTATGAACCAGTAAGTGACTGCAAATTTCCAAAAGATTTACACCAATAAGATTTTTGCCAGGTGCTTTGCAAAGACTTCAGGAGATAGTGCCATCAGCCTCAAGGAATTCTGGAAGATTAAGTTTAACATCCGAGACTGTGTAAGGCTCATAGTAAATTCCTGGAATTTCCAGTGCAGCCCAAAAGAACTTGTGGCCCTTTCAGTCATCTATGACACTGATAGAGTTGAGACTGAGATGGATGAAACCATGAGACTGTCACTGTTGGTGAGGCAATGGGGCTGGAGATTGATGAAGAGCACATGCAGGGGTTAATTCTAGACCACAGATAGGAGTTGGGAAGATGGAAGGAATATTTTGAGGAATTGTTAAATGTTGATGAAGATAGGGAAGCTGTGATTTCGTGTATAGGGCAAGGAGGAATAACATCTTGTAGGAGTGAGGAAGAGCCAGTTGTGAGTGTGGGGGAAGTTCGTGAGGCAGTAGGTAAAATGAAAGGGGGTAAGGCAGCCGGGATTGATGGGATAAAGATAGAAATGTTAAAAGCAGGTGGGGATATAGTTTTGGAGTGGTTGGTGCAATTGTTTAATAAATGTATGGAAGAGGGTAAGGTACCTAGGATTGGCAGAGAGCATGCATAGTTCCTTTGTATAAAGGCAAAGGGGATAAAAGAGAGTGCAAAAATTATAGGGGGATAAGTCTGTTGAGTGTACCTGGTAAAGTGTATGGTAGAGTTATAATTGAAAGAATTAAGAGTAAGACGGAGAATAGGATAGCAGATGAACAAGGAGGCTTTAGGAAAGGTAGGGGGTGTGTGGACCAGGTGTTTACAGTGAAACATATAAGTGAACAGTATTTAGATAAGGCTAAAGAGGTCTTTGTGGCATTTATGGATTTGGAAAAGGCGTATGACAGGGTGGATAGGGGGGCAATGTGGCAGATGTTGCAAGTGTATGGTGTAGGAGGTAGGTTACTGAAAGCAGTGAAGAGTTTTTACGAGGATAGTGAGGCTCAAGTTAGAGTATGTAGGAAAGAGGGAAATTTTTTCCCAGTAAAAGTAGGCCTTAGACAAGGATGTGTGATGTCACCGTGGTTGTTTAATATATTTATAGATGGGGTTGTAAGAGAAGTAAATGCGAGGGTCTTGGCAAGAGGCGTGGAGTTAAAAGATAAAGAATCACACACAAAGTGGGAGTTGTCACAGCTGCTCTTTGCTGATGACACTGTGCTCTTGGGAGATTCTGAAGAGAAGTTGCAGAGATTGGTGGATGAATTTGGTAGGGTGTGCAAAAGAAGAAAATTAAAGGTGAATACAGGAAAGAGTAAGGTTATGAGGATAACAAAAAGATTAGGTGATGAAAGATTGAATATCAGATTGGAGGGAGAGAGTATGGAGGAGGTGAACGTATTCAGATATTTGGGAGTGGACGTGTCAGCGGATGGGTCTATGAAAGATGAGGTGAATCATAGAATTGATGAGGGAAAAAGAGTGAGTGGTGCACTTAGGAGTCTGTGGAGACAAAGAACTTTGTCCTTGGAGGCAAAGAGGGGAATGTATGAGAGTATAGTTTTACCAACGCTCTTATATGGGTGTGAAGCGTGGGTGATGAATGTTGCAGCGAGGAGAAGGCTGGAGGCAGTGGAGATGTCATGTCTGAGGGCAATGTGTGGTGTGAATATAATGCAGAGAATTCGTAGTTTGGAAGTTAGGAGGAGGTGCGGGATTACCAAAACTGTTGTCCAGAGGGCTGAGGAAGGGTTGTTGAGGTGGTTCGGACATGTAGAGAGAATGGAGCGAAACAGAATGACATTCAAGAGTGTATCAGTCTGTAGTGGAAGGAAGGCGGGGTAGGGGTCGGCCTAGGAAGGGTTGGAGGGAGGGGGTGAAGGAGGTTTTGTGTGCGAGGGGCTTGGACTTCCAGCAGGCATGCTTGAGCGTGTTTGATAGGAGTGAATGGAGACAAATGGTTTTTAATACTTGACGTGCTGTTGGAGTGTGAGCAAAGTAACATTTATGAAGGGATTCAGGGAAACCGGCAGGCCGGACTTGAGTCCTGGAGATGGGAAGTACAGTGCCTGCACTCTGAAGGAGGGGTGTTAATGTTGAAGTTTAAAAACTGTAGTGTAAAGCACCCTTCTGGCAAGACAGTGATGGAGTGAATGATGGTGAAAGTTTTTCTTTTTCGGGCCACCCTGCCTTGGTGGGAATCGGCCGGTGTGATAAAAAAAAAAAAAAAAAGATAGGAGTTAACAGCAGAGGAGCTCCAGGAATTTGGGAAGATGGATGAGACAGTGGAGAGGAAGAAGTGGAGGAAAAGGACCATAGAATAACAGCTGCAGAAATTCAGGAGTCATTTACTCACTGGAAAGGTGTGAAAAGAATCATAAGAAAGCACCCAGGCATTGAAAAAAGTACACTAACTTTCTGTGTTTTTGAAGATAGTTTTTCTTATTTTAAGAACCTCAGAAGAAAGTGACAGAAATAAACAACTCTGGACAGTTTTTTTCAAAAGGTACTGGTTGGAGGGAACTTCTACTAACCAGTAACCTCCTCTCCATCCTCTCCCCTCCCACCACACCACCAACTCCTCAAGTCCAACATATAGTAAAAGGTGTACTTCCAGGGTCTTGAAACAAATTACCATAAAACCACATACAGCAGGACCCTTGTATCTGCAGGGGATATGCTCCAAGACCTACCCTGGATACCTGAAACCACGGATAGTAGCGAACACCATATATGTCATTTTTCGTTTACATACATATGATAAAGTTTGAGAAATTATGCAAAATAATTCTAGAATTAGCACTTTATTCACTGATGAGAAGCACTTCACGGTTTCTCTTAGGCTTTGAAGAACTGCAATCATCGCTACTTTTGTGCTCTGTGTCCAATATTAAAACAAAATTAAAGGTTTTTTGGGGCCACAGTAAACAGTGGATAACTGAAACTGTGGGTACTGAATCTGCTGATACGAGGGTTCTACTGTATATTGTGGTTCGAGTTACAGTAGTTTACAAGTATGATATGTCTTCTGGAATGGAATAATACTGTAACTCAAGGGACCACTGTACAGATAAACACTGCTGGATAAACTACAGTAATAATATTCACTGTAAGCTGTGTAGCTACCCTGAAAACAGAAGATATACTGTACTACTAACCCTTCATCTGGCACAACTGGCTCAAGTGTGCGGATCTGGCGTGGGATCAAAGTTACAACAATGTCATCTGGAGGGAAGTAGAGAATTTTCCTTACTGGATCACGGTCTGCCTCCAGTTGGTGTTGGTCTAGGAAATCTTCATAATCAATAGGATCCACATTTTCTTGTAGTGTATCATGCTGGAGGTGAAGTGCATTTTAATGAGCTACTTTTTCAAACAAGTGATAAATGTGCAAACAAAAAAATCATACTTAATACCAGAACTTTTTAAAAAAAAAAATCTGTAGTCTCCCAATACAACCTGGTGACCTAAAGACAAAAACTCATTCAGAATCATTTTTCCTTCATTTTACAAAATATCCTTTACCTCATTTCTTATAAACTTATTATTACCTAACATTATACTGCAGAAATTTGTAACTTGTGCCATATTGGTCCCAAATCTACCATCATAGAGATTTTCCAAATCCATAACTGCAATAAAAAGTTCCCTTCTTTTATCTAAGTGTTTGTTATTTGTCCTTCAAAATCAACACTTCTTTTATAAATCCATCATGCTCTTCTGAATTTTTTTTCTTTCTTTTGATTCACTATTAATACAAGTTATAGCTTATACAGTGGACCCCCGCTTAACGATCACCTCCAAATGCGACCAATTATGTAAGTGTATTTATGTAAGTGCGTTTGTACGTGTATGTTTGGGGGTCTGAAATGGACTAATCTACTTCACAATATTCCTTATGGGAAAAAATTCGGTCAGTACTGGCACCTGAACATACTACTGGAATGAAAAAAGTTCGTTAACCGGGGGTCCACTGTACTTTACCAGGTGGAATTAAGCCTATCGAAAGCTTTCTTAAAATTTGTATAAATATAATCTGCCCATCCATTTTTTCTTGAACAATTTGTTATTGTCATCAGATAAAAAAGGTCCAAAGAAATGGATCCAGGAGCTAAAAAAATATATGAATCATGATGATAAAAGTGTAATGAACACTTGGCAATGCTAAAGGGTATCCCACATGTAAACAAGGAAACAACAATGTAAATGAGACTATATATTTCGACTCCAAACTGGAGTCCTCATTAGCAGTATGTACAGTAAAGGAATGAGGGCACCTTATATAGGGGTTACAATTCAGGTGGAATGCTAAGTGTCACACTACCACTGGCCTAATGGGCCATGTCAGTGGAGAGTCTATAAAGCTAAAATATTGGGTGGCCATATTAACAGTTGGCCAATATTTATAACCACTCAGGGTCTAGCTTCATACTCCTACTCATATGGCCCAGCAGGCCATTTGCATTATAAGTTTATAACAATCATGTAAGAACAATGCATTATGCCTACTGGTCCATGTTTGGCAAGTCCTTTTCAAATGTAACATTCTCAAGTTAATTTTAGTCCAACCAGTTCCACAGCTACCCAAGTTTTTAGCTTTGTAGACTGTCTACTATCATGCCCCAGAAGGCCAATTGTAGTGCTGTACTTGGATTTTTACCTGACTTGACAGTGACCCCTATATAAAGTACCCCTCCTTCATCCAGTGCATATTCTGTTGATGAGGAAGCCAGTTGGGAGACAAAATATAGTCTCATTTCCACTGTTATTTTCTTGTCTACATGTAGGATACCCTTCATCAATATGACCTTTGAGGAAAGGCTGAAAATATTAATTTTAACCCTTAAATGGTCCAAAGCATATATACGTTTTTTCAACATTTGAAAGTATGTAAAAAAATGTAAATCATCTTCTGTTTTTTTTTTTTTACATTTGAAAATGTGTAAAAAAAATTTTTACCTACATTTTTTTGTTATATTTGAAAATATGTAAAAAAACATAGATTTACTTTTGGAGCACTACGGACATGAACGTCGATCTTTTTGGACTGTTTAAGGGTTAAAGACGCCCAGGTTGGATTGTAAGGAGGAAAGAGGAGATATATCATCAATATACAAGGTTATAAAAATGTTATGAAGTACTATATAAAGGAGCTTTTACAGTATGATACCTTAAACTGGGATAACAAGAGACCACAAATGCAGATTAAGGAAAAAATGGAGCAGCAGAAATTATAATAAATTCTTCTTTATCAACAGAGTGGTGGAAGACTAGAATATATCTGGAGAAGGTAGTCATGCTGCAACCATAGGAAACCTTAAAAAATTATATGATAAAAATATTACCGAAGATGGGAACTATGAGAATTGCTCTTATCTCATTGCTACAAACAGAAATAGGTAATTCCCGACCACAAATGTGGATCTAGGCACAATTGTGCATGCTCATATATACCGTTGAGAGTGTTGATACACTAGCAGATCGAGGAGGATCCTTCCCAGTTGTCACTGAGCTCACTGTCCTTCGCACATCAGCTGCATGCTGCCTGATGGGTGAATAATTAATTTTTACCACTTTCATTATTTGTTAATTTTAAGTGTAATCAAACAAGTATGATCAAATAATTTAAAAACAAATCTGTCAGGGACATATATTTTTTCAAAGTAGGTTACACACATTTTAAGATCAGCCTGTCTGACCACTAATATACAGTAGTATATTTCATGAATAATTTAAACACAGTACCAGCACACTGAATGTAAAATGCCACTACCTTCACTCATCTTTATCTATCACCCACACACATGCCTGCAATGTGTTCCAAGATCATACCTCTCAGTATCATTTCATAACCTCCTTCCAACCTGTTTGGACATCTAGTGCATCACATTACATCCACTACAGATTTATACCTGATACAGTAATTCTCATCTAATTCTTATTACTGAAAAACACTATTATTATTATTATTATTATTATTATTCAGCATGAATGCTAAAGTAGGAGAAACTTTTAGAGAGGGTGTGGTAGGTAAGTTTGGGGTGCCAGGTGTAAATGATAATGGGAGCCCTTTGATTGAACTTTGTATAGAAAGGGGTTTAGTTATAGGTAATACATATTTTAAGAAAAAGAGGATAAATAAGTATACAAGATATGATGTAGGGCGAAATGACAGTAGTTTGTTGGATTATGTATTGGTAGATAAAAGACTGTTGAGTAGACTTCAGGATGTACATGTTTATAGAGGGGCCACAGATATATCAGATCACTTTCTAGTTGTAGGTACACTGAGAGTAAAAGGTAGATGGGATACAAGGAGAATAGAAGTATCAGGGAAGAGAGAGGTGAAGGTTTATAAACTAAAAGAGGAGGCAGTTAGGGTAAGATATAAACAGCTATTGGAGGATAGATGGGCTAATGAGAGCATAGGCAATGGGGTCGAAGAGGTATGGGGTAGGTTTAAAAATGTAGTGTTAGAGTGTTCAGCAGAAGTTTGTGGTTACAAGAAAGTGGGTGCGGGAGGGAAGAGGAGCGATTGGTGGAATGATGATGTAAAGAGAGTAGTATGGGAGAAAAAGTTAGCATATGAGAAGTTTTTACAAAGTAGAAGTGATGCAAGGAGGGATGAGTATATGGAGAAAAAGAGAGAGGTTAAGAGAGTGGTGAAGCAATGTAAAAAGAGAGCAAATGAGAGAGTGGGTGAGATGTTATCAACAAATTTTGTTGAAAATAAGAAAAAGTTTTGGAGTGAGATTAACAAGTTAAGAAAGCCTAGAGAACAAATGGATTTGTCAGTTAAAAATAGGAGAGGAGAGTTATTAAATGGAGAGTTAGAGGTATTGGGAAGATGGAGGGAATATTTTGAGGAATTGTTAAATGTTGATGAAGATAGGGAAGCTGTGATTTCGTGTATAGGACAAGGAGGAATAACATCTTGTAGGAGTGAGGAAGAGCCAGTTGTGAGTGTGGGGGAAGTTCGTGAGGCAGTAGATAAAATGAAAGGGGGTAAGGCAGCCGGGATTGATGGGATAAAGATAGAAATGTTAAAAGCAGGTGGGGATATAGTTTTGGAGTGGTTGGTGCAATTATTTAATAAATGTATGGAAGAGGGTAAGGTACCTAGGGATGGCAGAGAGCATGCATAGTTCCTTTGTATAAAGGCAAAGGGGATAAAAGAGAGTGCAAAAATTATAGGGGGATAAGTCTGCTGAGTATACCTGGTAAAGTGTATGGTAGAGTTATTATTGAAAGAATTAAGAGTAAGACGGAGAATAGGATAGCAGATGAACAAGGAGGCTTTAGGAAAGGTAGGGGGTGTGTGGACCAGGTGTTTACAGTGAAACATATAAGTGAACAGTATTTAGATAAGGCTAAAGAGGTCTTTGTGGCATTTATGGATTTGGAAAAGGCGTATGACAGGGTGGATAGGGGGGCAATGTGGCAGATGTTGCAAGTGTATGGTGTAGGAGGTAGGTTACTGAAAGCAGTGAAGAGTTTTTACGAGGATAGTGAGGCTCAAGTTAGAGTATGTAGGAAAGGGGAAATTTTTTCCCAGTAAAAGTAGGCCTTAGACAAGGATGTGTGATGTCACCGTGGTTGTTTAATATATTTATAGATGGGGTTGTAAGAGAAGTAAATGCGAGGGTCTTGGCAAGAGGCGTGGAGTTAAAAGATAAAGAATCACACACAAAGTGGGAGTTGTCACAGCTGCTCTTTGCTGATGACACTGTGCTCTTGGGAGATTCTGAAGAGAAGTTGCAGAGATTGGTGGATGAATTTGGTAGGGTGTGCAAAAGAAGAAAATTAAAGGTGAATACAGGAAAGAGTAAGGTTATGAGGATAACAAAAAGATTAGGTGATGAAAGATTGAATATCAGATTGGAGGGAGAGAGTATGGAGGTGAATGTATTCAGATATTTGGGAGTGGACGTGTCAGCGGATGGGTCTATGAAAGATGAGGTGAATCATAGAATTGATGAGGGGAAAAGAGCGAGTGGTGCACTTAGGAGTCTGTGGAGACAAAGAACTTTGTCCTTGGAGGCAAAGAGGGGAATGTATGAGAGTATAGTTTTACCAACGCTCTTATATGGGTGTGAAGCATGGGTGATGAATGTTGCAGCGAGGAGAAGGCTGGAGGCAGTGGAGATGTCATGTCTGAGGACAATGTGTGATGTGAATATAATGCAGAGAATTCGTAGTTTGGAAGTTAGGAGGAGGTGCGGGATTACCAAAACTGTTGTCCAGAGGGCTGAGGAAGGGTTGTTGAGGTGGTTCGGACATGTAGAGAGAATGGAGCGAAACAGAATGACTTCAAGAGTGTATCAGTCTGTAGTGGAAGGAAGGCGGGGTAGGGGTCGGCCTAGGAAAGGTTGGAGAGAGGGGGTAAAGGAGGTTTTGTGTGCGAGGGGCTTGGACTTCAGCAGGCATGCGTGAGCGTGTTTGATAGGAGTGAATGGAGACAAATGGTTTTTAATACTTGACGTGCTGTTGGAGTTTGAGCAAAGTAACATTTATGAAGGGGTTCAGGGAAACCGGCAGGCCGGACTTGAGTCCTGGAGATGGGAAGTACAGTGCCTGCACTCTGAAGGAGGGGTGTTAATGTTGCAGTTTAAAAACTGTAGTGTAAAGCACCCTTCTGGCAAGACAGTGATGGAGTGAATGATGGTAAAAGTTTTTCTTTTTCGGGCCACCCTGCCTTGGTGGGAATCGGCCAGTGTGATAATAAAAAAAAAATAAAAAAAACAGTACCATAACCCCTATAGTGTACCGAAACTCCCTGTACAGTAACATAACTCCCTATACAATACCATAACTCCCTATACAATACCATAACTCCCAATAGTGTACCATAACTCCCTACACAGTACCATAACTCCCTACACAGTACCATAACTCCCTACACAGAACCATAACTCCCTATACAGTATCGTAACTCCCTATACAGTACTGTAACTCCATATACAGTACCATAACTCCATATACAGTACCATAACTCCATATACAGTACAATAACTCCATACACAGTACCATAACTCCATATACAGTTAAAATCCAAACAAATCTTATCTTATCCTATCTTAACTGGCATAGTATCCCGTGACCTGGTAGGCAACACTCTCGCCTCACAGTACCCATGGTTTGATCCCCAGCAAGGGTGGAAACACTGGGAGTGTTGCCTTACACCTGTTGTCCTCATTCACCTAGCAAGCAAGCAAGTACCTGGACGTTAGTTGACTGGTTTGGGTTGCATCCTGGGGGACAAAATTTAAGGACCCCAATGGAAATAAGACAGACAGTTGCTCAATGACGCACTGACTTTCTCGAGTTATCCTGGGTGGCTAACTATCTGGAGTTAAACATCCAAACAAAATCTCATCTCAGATATACATGAAGACATAAATGAACTGTCTGAAGACCATGACACACACAACTGCAGAAGAATTACTGGAGGAACGTCAGTAATTACTTATTATTACATAATATATAAATGAAATATTATTTCTTTGCTAAAGTTTCAATGTGTGTGTTTATATTTCATAGTTTGACTGGTACAAAGAAAGCCACTATCATGCCGAGACATTTTGGGCAGACTTCTTAAGTCTAAACAGGTGACGAGTGGTTGAATACAATATTCAATATTTTACTCTATTATTAATATATGATACAAAAATACATTTTCAAGTTTGTAATTAAGTATATTTATTAATATGAGTGCAAACTTTTTAATTAAAGAAGACACTAAATGTAGAAGCACAAGCATCCTACAGTAATATATTTACACTAATAACTCATTACAATTGTGACCGGACGTGGACGGGTCAGTGGTTCATTACTTTGTAATTTGTTCATGATTGTAACCATGTATAGAAGTGCAGATGGTTCATTACCTTTGTAACTTGCCATGATTGTGACCAGATCTGCCTGGAGTTCATTACTTTTGTAACTAGTTCAGTTATCATAACTTTGTGGTCCAGTTCCTGGACCCATTATATACCTGTAATCTTTTGACTACCATCCACACCATGGGTCTGGGGTGAATAATAAAAATATTAAACTAACCTACGGTAATGTCTTCTAAAACAACAATTTGCAGGTATACACAAATACGTTATATATTATCATACACAGCAGCACACGAGTACACAACTTAACAAAAATGTCAGACAGTGATTTACGTATTTCCTGTAACTGTAACCTAAAGCAAAAATATATTAACAATGTGTTTTCTGGTTAATGTATATTTCCTAATGCTGTGACTTATACTAAATAATCTTAAGGACAGAACTCTAAATAATATACAACACTCCAAATTACCAAAAAAAAAAAAAACAAGATTTACGGGTATCATTTGGCAAGATGCTCAGAGGAACTAGTTAAAAATAATTGGGTGTAAATAGGTCCCATCTGGCATGGGTTGTTATTTTTATCGCAGCTTTTCTTTCATCGTCGTGTTGTTAGAGGTTAAACAGTAACTTACTTGGACAGCTTCTGAGCGAAGGCTCGCTGCCCCGACGCCATCTTTGTTTGCAAACTGACTTAACATTCGTTATCCTACGAAATTATTATATGTTCAACATAAATGTACATTTCTATTATTATATTATACATTAAAACACTCACACCTTTTCATATATGTATATTTCTACGAATGTGTGCATTGTATACATACTACGATGAGGAAGGAGAGTTCGTGGTTGAATATTAACAATATTTCGAACGCTGCGTCCCTGTTAACCCCAGGTTTTATTACAATAAGATAAGCAAACATTTTATTAATGGTTCTGATGTGATTAAATACCAAAAAGTCGGCATGTGTTGTTGATTATTAATTATTAACTCTGGGGGTTAGTAACTCAGGATAATAATGAAAGTATACCTGAAGTGTTCTGGGGGTCAGTGCCCCCGCGGCCCGGTCGATGACTAGACTTCGCTGTGGTTCCGGGCCTGATCAACCAGGCTGTTACTGCTGGTAGCACGCAAACCAACGTACAGACCACAGCCTGGCTGATCAGGAACTGATTTTAGGTGCCTGTATAGCCAGCCAGCGCTGTATAGCCCTTGTGGCTTAGCGCTTCTTTTTTATTATAATAATAATAATAGCCAGCCAGGGGTCTATTGGTAATCCCCTTATGTGTGCTGGGAGGCAGTTGAACAGTCTTGTGCCCATGACACTTACTGTGTTATCTCAGTGTACTCGTGGCGTCTCTGCTTTTCATTGAGAGGGATGTTGCATCGCCTGTCAAGTCTTTTGCTTCAGTAGAGTGTTTTCTGTATGCAGATTTCGGACTAGCCCTTCTAAGATTTTCCAAGTGTATATTATCATGTATCTTTCTAGCCTGCGTTCCAAGGAGTACAGGTCAAGTGACCTGTACTCCTTGGGACCAGTAACTGAAGTGCTTTATTGTACTTATACATGCAGACACAGTGAAAATTCTCTGTATATTCTCCAAGTCTGCTATTTCGCCTACCTTGAAAGGGGCCATTAGTGTGTAGCAATATTCCAGCCTAGAGAGAACAGGCGATTTAAAGAGAATCAGAATTGGCTTGGTATCCCTAGTTTTGAAGGTTCTTATTATCCCCCCACTCTTCATAGATCTAAACTTACTCCCTGTTCAGAACATCCACACTTACTACTGTGCAATCTACATCTACAGGACCTTAAATTCCAATATTAACCTTGACCTAAAACACTTGATAGTTGTGACAGAACCCACAGGCACAACACCAGACACAAACATCTCTACGACATTCCCTGTGTCCGACTAAACCTTTACAAAAATTCAATGTATGTCAAAGGCCCTAAAATCTGGAACACCCTACCTGAAAACTCTAGAACTGCAGACACATTCATCACCTTCAAAACTACCATTAGAAAACATCTTATCTCCTTGATACACCCCGTCAACTAACTACATAAAAACCACCTGGTGGTTCACACTTACACTCACTCACTCACCCATTTGACTATAAGCACAGAAATACTAATCTTAATCTTAAAATAATGAATCCTAACTAGTCATAAGTTTGCCTGTGATACTCCAATATAGAAACTATGTATTGTGCCAAAACAAAAGCATACACATTGCTAAACTCACAAACTAGTATTTAGTCACTTTGTATTTAGTTAACTTACTCCACAATTTGTAATAATTTAGGGTTAAGAATTAATCTAAGTTTGCCAGGAATGCCTAGCCATGCTAGGTGTCCTAGTGGCCCCCTCTGTAATTAGTATTTTATTACATGTAAACCACACAATAACCAAAATCTCTAAACCCCGCATTGTAATCCTTATAAAGAATAAACTTTGATTGATTGATTGATCTTATCATTTTCCCAGCAGATGTGACAGACATTGTTGTGATCTTTGAAAGTGAGATCCTCTGACATTATCACTCCCAGGTCCTTCGCATTAGTTTTTCGCTCTATTCTTTGGTTAGAATTTATTCTCTGATCTAGTTTTTATTTCTTCGAGTTTTCCATAGCGGAGTAATTGATAGTTGTCTTCATTGAACTTCATATTGTTTTCTGATTACGCTGGATCTTCATGGTACTCCTGGAGTTTACCTGGAGAGAGTTTCGGGGGTCAACGCCCCCGCGGCCCGGTCTGTGACCAGGCCTCCTGGTGGATCAGCGCCTGATCAACCAGGCTGTTGCTGCTGGCTGCACGCAAACCAACGTACGAGCCACAGCCCGGCTGATCAGGAACTGACTTTAGGTGCTTGTCCAGTGCCTTAACAAAAAAAAAATGAAAGATAGATTGCAAATCATCCAGAATAAAATGGTGAGATTCATCCTGGATTTGAGTCCAAGAGATCATGTAGGCCAGGATGAATTACAACAAAAAATGTATATGCTGAATGTACACTAAACCTGGGAGTGATCATGTCGGAGGATCTCACCTTCAAGGACCAAAACATTGTATCGATCGCATCTGCTAGAAAAATGACAGGATGGATAATGAGAACCTTCAAAACGAGGGATGCCAAGCCCATGACACTCTTCAGGTCACTTGTTCTATCTAGGCCGGAATATTGCTGCACACTAACAGCACC